CGTGTACGTGTTGTATTGTGTACAAAACATATATTTTCTATTCGAATTTCAATAAGGAAAAACTTTTGTATTCAAATAGAATATTACCATTTATTATTTCTTTGAGGTTAGTGCTCTCTGCCACTGACATGTTGTATGTTGTAGGTCTCTCTCTCTCTCTCTCTCACACACACACACACACACACACACACACACACACACACACACACACACACACACACACACACTTTTCCCCCCATAAAACTTTCGCTTCAGCCCATTGGAGGAGGCGAGATAAGCATCCCCCTGTAGCGGACTTACGACAAAATGCTCTTGTTTATTGGTGGGGAATAGCACCTACTGGAGTCTGGATCCAACGCCCCATAAATATTGTGAATAAAGCACCAGGTGAAACCCCAAACACAGACACTCTTGAAGTTATGCATAACGAACATGACAAAACATAAGCACACCATTATCACTATCTTGCCCACATCAACAAACAAACTACGGGTTGCACACTCGTGCCCTCACGATCAGTCAATTTGTTTATTTATTTGGTTGAGGAAGGGTAAGGTAGTGATTATGTTGTTTTTATATTTTGTTTGGTTTGCTATACAAACTCCAAGAAAGGAGGAGAGAGATTATGTTGCTGCTTTATTCACAATGTTTATGAGAAGTTCTACCTATTGTTCATAAGGTGTCGCTCCCCACTAATTGACACAAGCATTTTGTCGTAAGTCCACTACAGGGGGATGCTCATTTTACCTCCTCTAATGGGTTTGTGGGAGTGGAAAAAAGTGTGTATATGCGTGAATGTGCATGAGTGTATGTATGAGGGGGAAAAAAAGCCCTACAACATACAGTATGTCAATGGCAGGGAGTGCAAGGGCAGATGCTAACTCCCCCCCCCCACACAAAATAGGGTAATGTTCTATTCGAATACAATAGTTTTTTCTTTTCGGAATTATAATAAAAACAATATGTATTGAATTTGAATACAACGTATATGAGATTCATTCAAAGTGTTATTTTATCCGATAAAAGAGGATCCACGGGGCTCGAGACGTTCAACTCAAGGACCGCGGCCTTCTTAACCTCCTACGAGCAACTATTGATCATCCACAGACAACAATTGTCCGTTTTCTGTGAATTGCCCTCCAAACAAATTTACCACCTTTTTGTTTTCGACCCGAATAAAATGACCGGTAAAATGAACAACGACAAAACTGATTAAGAGGCTAGGCTACCAGTCGGGCCGCCCATATTACCCTATTTTTCAAAGCAGCCCGACCGTGCAAGGACCAGGGAAGGTCCCAGCAAAAAAAAAAAAAAAAAAACTGAAAAATAACTATGTTATGTAGAAAAATAAACTGAACAATGTTTGCCCCAGGGTCACATCAATTTTTTTTACCAAATTTAAAATAAAAAAAAATAATTAAAAATTCTTTCTATTTTTTCATTGTTTTATATATTTTGGCCCTGCCGGGCAAGTGGACCCAGACCACTCTGATAGTCTAGTTCAGAGGTATAAAACACACCTCCTGATGGGCTGCTAACGACCAATCTCCGCTCCGCTATGTCAAATCCATGTGAACCTCCTCCCAATGATATATCCACCACCGCCACCAGATTTTTTATTTGGGGCATTCCCACCACAAATACCTCACTGGTTCAATATCTTTTTGGCAGCGATCGCATACTATAATTACCTTTATACCTTTCTCTACTAACCACTTTGAGAAAGGAACCGTCAAGCGAGATTGAAGTTATACAAGGGATACAATCATTTGCAACGGTATTGCTTGCAACTGAGTCTATATTAATAAGAACTCTCTATCAGAAGACGATGCCAACTATGAAATATCTCACTACCAGTGGGCCATGATGGACTGGTACGAGGTTGTTATGAACTCACTAACTATAGTATGGTCCCCAAGTTGCAACATCGATCCTCATTTAACTGGGGGGAGTCTCACTGCTTATCAAGTATGGGATCATAGGGAGGCTAGCCTTTGTAGGGGTCTGTAACCTTACTCTAACTTTTGTTAGCCCACTGAGACCATAGTGTAGTTGCATATCAAACATTTTCAACGTTGGGAGGTTGGGGAACTCTTGGCTATATATATTCAACCAGTATTTTTTCAAACTGTCTTTCATCCAACTTTTCATTCCACATAAGCAACCAGGCTCATCATTGTCTTGTTTGTATTAATTTCCGAGTGCCTTCATTCCTTTTGGCCCTTGTTACTACTTCTTTATAAATAGCCGCTCTGATGAGAGTCACTCATTCCTCCTGTAAGGGTAGTTGACCCAACACTAGCTTGAGTTGCTCCGTGGTCTTCGACTAACTCCATAGATCATTCCACAAATGACTAATTGCTGATATTAATTTTGTGACAAACTTGGTGCACATAGTCTTGTTCTTTTCTCTAGTGATAAACAATTTTAATTATAATACTAAATTTGTTGCTCTCAAACAACTTGAAGTGTCGGTGCCCCACCTGCTCCTTGGAAGCCGGAAGTATAACTATTGTTGGTCTAACTTTTCTCCAGGCCTACAAAATATCTCTCAAAAGTTTCGACTTTTGACACTTCCGCAAGTAGGACGCTAACATTATAGCGACTTAGACATTAGACGACCGATACATGTTTCATTTGGTTGCCAACACCAATTCAACGAGAAGTATTCAATCAGCTTTCTGATCTCCTTCAGCAACACAGTACCTACTCCACCAAGAATGCTCAGTCCTTCTTCACAGTGGTGTCGGTACAAATACCCTTAGAAGGGTATTTATGTGTATTTTGTGTCTCATACGAGACGTGTTTGTAATGATAGTTGAGAGGACGACACATTTACTTTTTGTGT